ACAGCGCTGAGCGAGGCGGGGCTGGCTGGGATGCGGCTCTGGGAGACCCACCTGGTCGGTCTGACGTCCAGGCATGGCCGCCTCTGCTGGGCCCAGCTTCTCCCTCACATCTGCCCGGGGAAGGACAGGCTGGCTGTGGGCACATCCATGTTTAAGCCACTGTCCCCTGCACTGTCCCCAGGCCCCTGCTCTGTCCCCACGCCCCCTGCACTGCAGGTGTACCCCGCCTTCGCTGGGCAGGCCCCTCTCACTGGCACCCCAGGGGCCCCAGCTCTCTTCCTGCGACCCTGGCACCCTCTGTGCTGACCTTCCCGTCCCTGTGGTCACCATTGCAGCTGCCCATCCACTGGTGCGTTTAGGCTCCACCCGCCACCCATGTCCGGGAGCAGGGGTAATGGGTGCTGTCCTGCGGGTCACTCGGCCGGACTCCACTGTGAGCACCTGCTTGTGCGCTGGTCTCTGTGCGCCCATTTCCTCCACCTGCCACCGAGGGGACAGCCAGCGTCCTGGGCAGGGACTGTCCCTCCTCCCTTCCACCTCCTTCCCCATCTCCCTCCCTCCTCCCCCTTCCCCTGTCTCCTTCCCCCTCCCCCTTCCCCTGCCTCCTTCCCCCCTCCCTTCCCCCCTTTCTCCCTGTCTCTTCTCAGTCCCTCTCTCAATGTCCCCTTCTTCCATTTCTGGTTGGGTTCCTGGCGCTCGGCATAAGGGGTGACATGTGAAATGAGCTCCGTGGTTTTGCTGGGAGACTGCTCAGCGAAGGGGCCTTGCACAGCCCCGTGAGGACCCGGTCAGCAGCCGCTCAGGCCGCGTCTCCCAGTGCTGGGCGCACACGTGCTGTGCTCTGGGGGCCAGGCCAGTGCTGCCCTCCAGTCCCTAGGGCTCCCCCATGTCCATCCCAGAGAGGCCGTGGGGGTCACACAGGGGCAGGTGGGGGGCGTGCTGGCGTCAGGAACCTCCTGATGTGTGAGGCTCTGACCAACTGCTGGTTCTAAAGGCCGCGGGCAGCAGTGGACACTGCCCCGGCCGCTCTGCCCAGCGCCGCA